GGGCTGCAGGCTCCTGCAGACATTTCTCCTCTTCAGGCCAAATGCCCCTTTTCTGTCCACCTGCCAGTCACGGGACATTGATTGAGGCCCATCTTGGGGCCTGTCTCTGGCCCCCCCATCTGCCTGCGTTGGGGGTTCTCAACCCTCTCTGACTTATAGCCCACCTTTGAGGTGCCATCCTACATACTCCACTGGCCGTGGCACCCCACCTTGGGCCCAGGTAGACCCCACACACCACCTCTTCCTGATCTCAGGGCGTGCCTCAGTTTACCCTGTGTCACCAGCTCAGCCCAGCTTCCACCTGTCTTGTAGCAGAAGGAAATAGACCTATCAATCATAAGCAATGCCTCCTTCTCCCGGTCCCACTGGGCTCAGGTGCCTGGATGGCGCGTGGGGCACACCCTCTCACTCCTGGGGCGAGTTCCCTTTAAGGGACACCACAGGCCGGGCCCTGGTCCAGCATGAGCTCACGGTCGGAGGGAGTGAGGCGCCTGCCTGGCTTCCCCTGACCTGGAAGCCAACCGCCTCCTGGAGCCTCTGGCAGCCGCTGATTCATGGGGCTGGCAGGCAGCTCCTGTCCCTGAGCCGCTGTCACATGGTGCTGTTAGCGCATCTCTCTTTGTCTGTACTTTGCATTAATAATAATAATAAACCCTCCACCTTCCTGCGGGACCAAGCTGATGCAGGAGCTGGTGACGGGGGCTTGCAGGGCAAGTCTGAACTGCAGCTCCTCTGGAGTTGGTTCCCTCACTCGGAAGCCTCCTGGGCGGGAGGGGGCGGAGCTGGCCCACAAGGAACACGCAAACCTGGTGAGCAAAGAAAGGGCCAGAACAAGGCCCCAGGCCTGGCATATGTTCTCCCCTCAGACGGTGGGCCTGGTTTGGGAGGGAGAGTGGCTGTTTCTTCCCCAGGGGCAGCTCAGGGACACCCCACTGGTTCCTGGGCTTGATGCCAAGGCATCAGCACAGACTGGGCATCCCTGGTGGCAAGGTGACATCAAGGGGAATGTCCCACTGCTGGTGTTGTTGCTGCGGTTTGTGTGTGCATTGCGAGCGAGCGGTGATGCTCTTTTCAGCTGGAGTAAGTGGGCCCTGGGGCCGCCTTAGATCAAATATTGCTCAGCTTTCACAGGCCCCTGGAGGGTAGGGAGGCAGGGATGAGGATGCCATCTGCCAAGCGGCAACTGCAGTTCGATGCTCTCGAGGTGGGGACACCTGTTCTGGAGCCAGTGGGGCTCGTGGCGTCAGATGTCACGTCAGCACCAAGGTCAGGAGGGCACAGCTGGCACCCGGGCTGTGAGGCTGTGCACCCACTTCTACTAGCATGCCATGTCCTGGGGCAGCTACTCGGGACAGGCGTTGCAGGGCGTGATGTGCCCACAGTCAAGGGGTCGTTTGGCCCGAGGGTCCTGCCACCCTGGATTTCAGGGGGTTTGGTTCAAGGGACACGAGGCTTTCCTCAGTGTCTACTGTGTGCAGTGCGCTCCAAAGGCATTATGTCAGTGACACGCCACGCCACAGCCCTGGGAACCCCTGCGACAGAGAGAAGTGCTACTCAAGAGTCAGAACCGACTCCACAGCAACTGGTTTTTGGAGTCCCTGCGTGGCGCAAGTGGTTTGCGCTCAACTACTATTGAAAAGGTTGGCGATTTGAATGCACCCAACAGTGCTGTGAAAGAAAGGCCTGGTGATCTGCTTCTGAAAGTTCACAGCCTGGAAAACCCTATGGAGCACAGTTCTACTCTGACACAGATGGGGGCACCATGAGTTGGAATTGACTTGATGACAACTGGTTTGTTTTTGGTTTCATATTTAATACCTAGAGCCATGCAAGCGCCTCATCAGTCAGCTGTCACCCACCCCTCCTAGTTCCCAGGTGTCCTGGGAGAAAAGAAAGGGGTGCCGAAGGCAAGGAGTTGCTGCAACGCCCCCTCCCATTTGCTCACTTTCAGTGGATTGCAACATGTTAGAGTTGTGTGTCTGGCCAAGTGGATTTATGGGTTATATTATCTAGTTTTAACCAAACGAATCCTGCAACATGGTCAAGTGCAAAGAAACTGCAAATAGTACCAATAATCCACCCACAGGTGAGCAGCAACAGAAGGGGCAGCGTTGACACTTCCTAATTCCCATACAGGCGCATTATCGCCCCCATTACAGCCTTGCAAGAAGTAAGCTCCCTACAAAACAAAACAAACCACAAACCTATCTGAAGTATGGATCCATACCCACCTCCCCAGTGTTTACTGGTGACATCTGCCCTGAGAACTTTGTTCCTTGAGAGATTCATCAACAGCATGAAACCATCGTGATGGGTGAGGCATTTAAAAACCAGGCTTTCAGAACATGAAGACAAATTCTCCACAATCTTTTTTTCTCCCAACGATGTTTAAAGTTATGTGCTGTTCAACCTAGTACTTTTTTATATTTCCCTGAGCAAGCATAAATATTTGGAGAGCCCTTGTAAAGTTTCCTGTGTAACGGCAAAAGACAAAAAACAAAAAACAAAAAAAAAAACCACCTACCACCAGGCAAACACTTATTCTTCCTGCTGCAGTAAAAATGGCAGAACGAATGAACAGAAAATGATCTGTTGACAAACGGAAAAGCATTTCTTTGACAGCAAATACTGTTGGAAGACGTAGAGAAAACACTGCGTAGATTGGAAGAAACGAGGGTGAGAGAAATCACTCACTGTGGGAGGTTTGCTACACAGCTGGCTGAAAGTACAGATGTTTCCAACGCGTCTCAGTTTAAGATATTTGCTGGATTCTGTTCCAATAAGGAAATACACAAACCACCGTGTGTGTGTGTATATGTGAACCAGTAAAGGAAAGATACAGCAGAGAAGGTATATTCCCAACAATCAATGTCTTGTTTAATAAAAGCAGTCATGGGGGAGAACGGTGTAAGTGTACCCACTGACGGCATAGCTACTCAGAAGGGAACGTTTTTTGTAAAAAGGATTCCAAGAAAGGTTGAGGACACCCACAAAGCTCACTCATTGGCTGGCCCACAGTTAACCACTGTAGGAAAGAGATAGAAGCTCCAAGGTGCATAAAGTGCGGGAGGTTCACCCCATGTGTGCAGAGTAGAACTGCTCCACACGGTTTTCAAGGCTGTGACCTTTCAGAAACAGATGGCCAGGCCTTTCTTCCGAGGTGCCTCTGGGTGGGTTCAAACCTCTAATCTTTCAGTTAGCAGTTGAGTGCTTAACCCTCTTGCTATCCAGGAACTCCAGAAGGTTATCGAACCAAATCAAACCAAACCCACTGCCATGGAGTCAATTCCAGCTCATTGACCCTGGTTATCAGTGGAGTTAATTTAGTAAAACCAAGAGTGTTCCTTCTGTTAGAGTAGAATCTTTATGATCTTTGGTAATGGGTTAGGAGTAACCATGAGAACTTTGCTGACCACACGGGATGAGCCATCTAAAGGGTTGTCATGCCACCCTGACAGGGAACACAGCAGAGAGTCCCTGATGGAGCATGAGAAAAGTGGGGTGCAGAATTCAAATTCTAGTAAAAAGACCAGACTTAATGGTCTGACTGAGACTGGAGGATCCCCAGAAAGCACGGCCCCCGGACACTCTGTCAACCCAGAACTGAAACCATTCCCAAAGCCAACTCTTCAGACAAAGATTAGACTGGGCTGTGGGACATAAAATGATACTCGTGAAGAGTGTGCTTCTCAGCTCAAGTAGACACATGAGACTAAACGGGCAGCTTCTGTTCGGAGGCAAGATGTGAAGGCAGAGAGGGTTAGGAGCTGGTTGAACGGACACGGGAAATGAGAGGTGGAAAGGAGGAATGTGCTGTCACAGACAGTATAGGGAGAGCAATTAGGGTCACATAACAATGTATGTATAAATTTTTGTATGAGAGACTAACTTGAATTGTAAACTTTCACTTAAAGTACAACAATAAAAAAAAAAGAAATGTAAGAGGAAAAAATTAAAGAAAAAAAAAAAGGGGGCTGTCATGAGCTTCCCTCCCTGCTTTCTCTCCTCCCTCTCCCCCGATCCTTTCCTCTTCTTAAAGACAACTGCGCTGAAGTTCTTTGAGGTGACAGGGGCTGTCAATCTCAATCAGCAGAAAGCTTTCCCTGCATCTGCCCCTTCAAGGTAAAGATGCCCTTTTGATAAAAAGTAACTTTTTGAATGAAAGCTCATGCCGAAGAGACAGCTGTTTGGAAACATTGCCATTGACCTGTGATTTTGTGCCCCACCATATGAGCATTTGACCAATCCAAAAAAACCAACCAAACCCGACAGACTCTTAGTGACCCTCTAGGACAGTAGCAGGCGAGCACTTTAACAATGTGCCACCAGAGCAACTTTGATTTGACCATTAAGGCCCCTCAATACCTTACACATTTTTTTTTAACAACTTAGAAGCAGAAGCTGCTGTTTTTTATTAATCACATATAAATCACACTCAATAGAGGTCACCCTTTTAGGGTATACACTTCAGTGGTTTTTCGTATATAAGATCCCGCAATCGTCACCGCTACCTAATTCTAGAACAATCTGCTTTGAATGCTTTCTAATGTAGACTTTTCCCTGAGTTTTGAATCCACTGGCCCGCGGCGGTAGATTTTGTCCATCTCGCCCTGGGGAGCACTGTCCTCAGCCTCTTCGCCGGCACGACGCCTGTCCGCAGCTACTCAGGACTAGCTGCTGGTGGAGGGACCGACGCGCCCCGACGTACCCTCTAGCGCAGCGCGGGGTCTGGGCGGGCCGAAGCGGTGCCGCTGGGACAGTGCCCGCCTGGTCCTCCGCACACCCTACCGTCCTGCCCCGTCAAGGGGCCCTGGGGTAGCGGCTGGGGTGGGGGCCTGGGGTTGAAGGCTCTGGAGGTAGGGACTCGGGGTGGCGGTTTGGGTGGCCAGGGCCTCGGTGTGGGCGCAGGAGCTCGGCAGTGGGGCCCAGGGACCCCGGGGAGGTGGGGACTGGAGGACACGGGGGTGGGCACAGGAGCCCGGCGGCGGGGCCCTGGGCAGTCAGGGAGCAGCGGGCACCAGCAGGAGCAGCAGCAGCGCCCCGGCCAGCAGCGGCGTCCACAGTGGGCGGGCGAGGGGCGCGGCGCCGCTGCTGCCGGCGGAGGGCTCCAGGCCGCAGTCAGTGTAGGGCTCCAGGCAGGCGGCGAAGGCCATGACGTGCGCCACGAAGCTCTGCTCCTGCACCCCGTGCACCAGGTGTGCCTGCGGGCCGCGCGCGAACAACGCCACGTCCTCGCCGCCGTGCGTCTCCGACGACAGGGGCACGGCCGCCTGCTGCTTGTAGTCGGGGAGCGCTGGCGGGAGACGGAAGGGAGTCAGGGCAGCCTCCCCTCCCTGGGCGCCTCCCGGTGTCCCCGCCCAGGTCCCCGCCGCACTCACTGCTCTGGCTCTCGTTGACGTCGGGCCGGGAGCCGCTGCCGAGCGCGTAGCCGGGCCCGTTGCCGTACAGGATGGAGGTGTAGGCCTTGCCGTCTGAGGCCTTGCCATTTGCCAGCCCTGCGGGAGGGGCGGGGAACTTGGATGGCACCGACCACAGCTGGTGGAGGCCCCTGTGTGCAGGCTCTTCCTGACTACTCACCTGGGCCCTACAAGGCTGGTATTATCATCACGCCCATTTGATGGATGAGGAAACTGAGGCCCAGCCAGATTTCTGCCATATAATTTACGAAAAAGCACCTGCCACTCTCCCCGGGCCTACCAAGAATGGGGCTCCCACGTAGCGTGTAGCCACCAAAACTGAAGACGTGGGAGTGGTCGGCGGTGACGAGGGTCAGAGTGTCCTCTTCATTTGTGAGCTGGCCCGCCCCCTCGATGGCGTTGTCAAACTCGATAGCTTCGGTCAGGGCCATGTAAGCATTGCCTGCGTGGTGACCGTGGTCGATGCGCCCTCCTGCAGCAGGCCAGGAGGAGGTGAATGACACCCAACCTGCCCTGAGCCCTCCCTCTCTGCTCCCTCAGTCTCATCACTCACCCTCCACAAAGAGGTAGAAGCCCTGGGGATTCCTGCTCAGCAGATGCAGGGCTGCCTTGGTCATGTCTGTCAGAGAGGGGTCCTGGGTGGTGTTTCGGACTGCATCATATTTCATGTCCGCTGGCTCAAAGAGGCCTGTGGGAAAAGAGGGCCATGGGGGGTGGCTGGCTGGCCAGCTGGTCACGGGCAGGAAGGCAGGGGGAGGATTGGTGTGACCGTTACCCATGAGGTGCGTAACCGAGGGGTCCTGGGATGCCTGGATGAGTGCTGTGCGGTTCCACACGTAGCGGGCGCCCTGGGAAGGACAGGATCAGGCCTCAGCTCATGGCCCTAGGACCCTAGCCCCGGCTGCATCCCCACCGCGCCGAGCCCCTGCACCCACGGGCCCCATCACCTGGTGCTTGTCTAGCCACTCCTGCACCAGGCTTCGGTTGTCCAACCTGACCCCGCTTTGGTCTGGGTACTCAGGATCTGGGGTCCCCGTGGGAAACATGTACTTCCGGCCTCCGCCAAGGATCACCTGAGGTCAGAGTATGGGACAGGTGGGCTTGGGGCCAGGCTGGCCCTGTGCCCCCTCCTCAGACAGCCTCTAACTTCCCCCCAGGTCTTTGTGGGAAAGGCTTCTTCCTGGCTATACCTTTTACATTCTCCCTAAGTTCTTCCAGCCAGCCCCTGCCAGGCCCCAGGCTCAGGCTACTGGGTGCCTGGAACTGGGGCTGTCCCCCCGCCCCCATCTGCCCCGCCCTGCCCGCACGTCAATGTCTGTGTTGGAGATAAGCTGTGTGGCAATGTCCTGGCAGCCGTCCTTCAGCGCCTGGGCAGGAACGTCGGCGTCCGAGTACCAGTTCCGGTTCACCGTGTGCGCATATGTGCCAGCTGGTGAGGCGTGCTGCACCCGCGTGGTAGTCACCACCCCCACAGACTTCCCTGAGGGTGGCAGAGGTCAGGGTGGGCGGCTGGGCTCCGGGGCTACCCCTTCCCCCACAACCCAGGCTCCCAGCCTACCTGCTTTCTTGGCCCGGCTCAGAACAGAGGTGACCTCATTGCCGTGGGTCGTGTTGCACTCGTTATAGCGGGCGGCTGCGCTCAGGCCGATGGTCTCGTAGTTGGCTTTGACGCCGCACAGGTAGGCCGTGGCCGTGCTTGCGCTGTCTGGCACATCCCTGTCCACACTGTACGTCTGGGGACAGGGACACCTTCAGCTCAAGCTCCGGGGCACGCTCAGACTGTGACCCAGTCCCCTGGGTCCGTCCACATCTGCATCCCTAAATCAGGCCCACCCTCTGGAACCTCCCTCCCGCCCAGCTCCTGAGCCTGGCAACCGCCCTTACCTTGGACAGAGCCAGGTACGGGAAGTAGTCCATGGCCAGGGGCGTCTCAGGCCCCAGCTTGCCATTCAGCTGCCCTTTTAAGATCCGAGCGGCTGTCACCGTGGACACCCCCATCCCTGAAGGAGCAAGACCCTGTCAAGGTTGAACTCCCAGAGCTGTGGGAGTCCTAGGGGTGGGCAGGCCTTGCACACTCACCATCCCCCAGGAAGATAATGAGGTTCTTGGCAGCCTTCTGGGAAGGCTGCAGCTTCTTGGCGATGTCCAGGGCCTCGGCTGCCTTCTGGTTCCAGAAGGCTGGGTTCTCCTCCTCAGCTGGCCAATGGGAGAGCAGAGGCTGGGTCAGTCTGGGGCGGCCCCTCTTTGTTGGGGCTAGGTTGGGGCTGGGGTAGGGGGCCTTGTTACCTGGGATGACACCAAGTGAGAGCTGTAGCCCCAGGCCCAGCAGCAGCAGCTGTATGCAGGCCCCTGGCATGTCTGTGGGGTGGCAGAGGGTGGCGAGGCTGGGAGACCGGGAGGCTGGGGCCCTGGGAGGCCCTGAGACGGGAGGGCACGAGCCGTCGTACCAGCTCCTGGCTTGAGTCAGGGAAAGACTTTGCCCCTGGCTCTTAAAGGCTCCACGTCCCTCCCAGCACCCCAGGAGCCAGACTGACCCCGCCCTTGCCCTGTGACCTTCCACCTTGCTGCTGAAGAGCAAGTGGTAGGGTATGTCTGAACTAGCCTGGGGCAGGGGTCTTTAAAAAGGCAGGGCCAACCCTCACAAGGTGGGCCCAGCTGTCTCCATGGAGGTCGGGTGGGGGGCTTTGGGGCAGGTCCAGATGAGCCTTGTGGGCATGGTAGGGTGTGCCTGAGGTGGGGTGTGTTGGCGGGCAAGTGGCGGCGGGGATATGTGACCCCCTCCTTCACCTCATTTGTTCGGGATTTCCCAGGAGCCTGCTGCGGGCCAGGTGGGTGCACAGCACACAGTCTGGGCAGAGGGTGCTGGGTTGGCCACTTGAGGCCCTGAACCCAGGAGACATGGGAAGCAGGTGTGGGGTGGCCTGGTGTACCTCACTATCTACGCGGCTTCTCATGAGGCTTCACCCGGGCTGGTGGGGTGGCCACTGGCCTTGAGGGTCCATCTGGAGGCCTGGGTCCAGAGTTCCTTTTCTGTGGAAGAGGGTGGGGCTGGCGGGGGCAACAGTATGGGGGCCTTGATTGGGTCTCCACAGCCTCATCCATGTGTGAGCACCTGTGCTCAGAGGGGCGGTTGGGGTGGGTCTTTCAGAGGGTATGGCAGGCCTGTAAGGAGCCCTGGTGGTGCAGTGGTTAATCGCTCAGCTGCTAAACGAAAGGTTGGCCGTTCAAACAACCAGCTGCTCCTCGAGAGGAAGACGTGGCAGTTTGCTTTTATGAGAGTACAGTCTTGTAAACCCTATGGGGCAGCTCTACTCTGTCCAGTAGGGTCCCTGTGAATTGGAATGATTCACAACAGTTACTGGTAAGGCAGACCTGTGCCTGTGGGGTGGAGCCCTGCTCCCGTGGCAGGTAGGTGGAGCCCAGGGGTGAGTCTCTCCTCCCGCTGGCCGTGCTCACTTCGGTAGGTTTACGTCTAATAAGGCCGTAACAGATTCCTGGAGCTCCAGGCTGGATCCAGAAGCATTCCTCAAAGCCCCGCCCACCCTAACTGACCATGCCATCTGAGCCACAGGCACCTCCAGGCCCCAGCTTGCTCCCCAGCATCTCCTTGTCCTGCTGTACTCCCCACCATGCCCTCCTGCACTCCGCTCAGGCCGAGCTTCTGTGGACCCTCCTGTCTGGACCTGCCTGCCCTCCACGCTGCTCCTGCTGTCTTGTAGCTCTCAGGGATAGTATTACCTCCTGAGGAAGCCCCACTCCGCACGTGGCCCCCATATCTCCCACTACTGCCTGCATCTTGCCGAGCTAGGGGAATTCTTGGCTAAAGGTCAGGGGACTCTAACATCTGAGCTGGCCTGTAATTAATTACAGTAAAACCTGCGAGAGCTGGAGCCTGCATAAGGCAGAAACCTGTCAGATAGGGAAAACACAAATATTTTCCACTGATGGAGAGTGACTGAGAAGTGGTAAGGGTGCACCCTGTCAGAGGGAGGCAGCTTGGGAGTTCCGTGGAGTTCCGGCTCTCACAGTTTTCACGGAATTTGTTCCTTTTACCAAGCCACAAGTTAATGGTTCAGAACTCCCGTGTCAGTCCAAAGTCAGAAGGCCTTTCCAGTGACGTCTCCCTGCTTTTTTAACATTGGAATTTTTACTGAGATAGCTGTAGCTTCACAAGCAGTTGTAAGAAATATGACAGAGATCCCTTATAAGCTTTGCCCAGTTTCCCGCAATAATACAACCAGAGGCTTATCTGCGGAAAATAGCGCCTGTGGCAAGCACTGTCCAAACTTCTGATACCTTTACCATAAGATACAAGTATCAAAGATACAAGTCAGGCTTGTTACTATTTTACTTCCATATCATGGCACTACATGAAAACTACAACTGTACCTTCCTTGCCGTCACGGATAAAAACTGGTCTGCCACGTGCTCAGTGTCATTTTTTCCCAGTTTCTTCTTTTCCCACACTCAGCAGAGCAAGATCACAGTTGGCCTTGACCCTGGGAGGCTCTCAGATATGAAAGCATACGTTTTAACTTGCTAAATGATCTCTCACAGCTGGCGATGAAAACTGTGATGGTTAATAGTGACAACTTTTGCAGTGCCTCTGGGTGGGATCGAACCGCCAACTTTTTGGTTAGTAGTGGAGGGTAAACACTTTGTGCCACGCGGGGACCTTCACTCAGCATAATTCCCTGCAGATTCATCCAGGGTGTTGCATGGACCAATAGTCGGTTCTCTTGATTGCTGAGTTGGGTTCCATGGTTTGGATGGACCTCAGTGTGGTTAACCACTCGCCTGTTGAAGGACGTCTGGGCTGATTCCAGTTTTGGCTCTTACCAAGAAAGCTGCTATGAACATCCACCAAAGCATTTAGGTTTGTGTGTGAACACCAGTCCTCACTTCTCTGGGATAACTGCCCAGCAGTGGTATTGCATGTGTAGTTTCAAAGAAACTGCTAAGCTGTTTTCCAGAGTGGCTGAAACCATTTTACATCCTTACCAGCAACATAGGAGTGATCCAGTTTCTCTGCAGTCTTACCAGCCTTGGGTGGTGTCACTGTTTTTTATTGTAGCCATTCTGATAGGCGTGGGGTGTGATGTCCCTTTTAATGCTCTTCTTATGGTAACATCAAGGTCTCTGGGTGGTGCAAGTGATTTGCGCTCAACTCCTAACCCAGCTGTGACATGAAAGAAAGCCCTGGTGATCTGCTTCTGTTAAGCTTAGCCAAGAAAGCTCTATGGCACACTTCTACTGTGTAAAATGTAGGGTCACCATGAGTTGGCATCAACTCAACGGCAGCTGACAACAACATGGTGACATTAATAATCAGCTACAACTTGCCCCAGTCCCTGGTGAATTTTTTCACGTGCCAGAGCAGGACCGGAGACCAACACACACCACCTATCACTTGCAGTAAACAACGGATGTCTGCCCAAAGTCTGTGGCCACCACCTGCCCAGGCAGGGCCACCTGGGCTCACCTGAGCCACCTGACTGTGACGACATGCAGTTACAATCCTTCCTCCCTCTCTGGGGCCCAGGGATCACAAAGCTGCAAGCAGCAGGCTCTTTCTGTGCACCATTGGGTAATGGCTCCCTGTTGCCTTGGGCAAGGGGCCTCCCAAAGCCTACTCTCTGAGGACGGTTGTCCTGATGGCCTGCATGTCCCACAGGGCCACATTAAGGGCCCCAAAACCTTCCACCACTTACCCGCTAGAGGTGGGGCAGGGCAGTGCCGAGTTGGCCCCCCACCAGCCGTCCCTGGCCCCTGCCCTCCAGATCTCATGGGGACATCTCATGGGTAGAACAAAAACCAAACAGCACCTGGGGAAGGAGAAGGCATGGGGAATATCGTGATGCCCCTGTCCCTCAGAAAGGGACGTCCATCACCCAGCTCTACCCCCAGACCCAACGACGCCCTCTCCTGGAGACAGAGGCATCCCTTTCCGTGACATTTTCCCATCACCAGCCATGGAAAATGCAAGGGCGTCCTCCTGGTGGTGGGACATTAGCATTGAACACATGCTCCATCCTGCCCTCAGGGAGCCCCACCCCACAGACCTCATGGGATGGGATGCTGAGTCTCCTGAGTCACCTGGGGGTCATGGGGCTGGGCTGGGGCAAGTAGGTGGGGGGCACCAGGTGGCCAAGCTTGGGGTGCACCTGTGTTTGCATCTTAGCCCCATCTCAGCCAGTGGGGTGATGCTTGACCTTTCAGCACATGCAGTGATGTCTCCCCTCTCTGGCCACGCCTGCCCATGTATATCAGGGCCAGGAGGATACTTGTAGGCCCTTTTCTTCCTGGAGTTTTCTGGGTCACACCCAGCCTGACTGAGTGAGAGGCAGGTGGGAAGTGACCCAGGGGGTCCAGCGGAGCCCATGGAGGAGCTGATTGATGGCCCAGGGTGGCTCCCTCAGCAGAGAGCAGCAGGTGCATGGGCCAGGGGGCATGGGGTCACTATGCGTCGCATGGAGGTCAGCGTGGTTCGAGAGTTCTTGGGAGTCACATGAGGGCACTGGCCACAGGGGAGAGAGACGGAGTCTTTCTTTCTGGCTGCTCCTAGGGGGCTGCAGGGCAGCACCGTGTCCACTGCAAGAGGCTGTCGGCCACCCTGCAGATGGGACTGGTTTCCAGGCTTGCAGAGGGAGCAGCGGATGGACCTGGCCTGGAGCAGCAGCCTGGGAAGGGCCTCTCATGCACAGGACCCTTTAGAAGGGAAGGAACTGGAGACAGCACAGACTTAGGGATCCATGGGCCACAGGCGACAGGGAACTTTTGCAGGGGTATGTTCTGTGGCCCGGCAGAGCTGAGTGCATTTAAACCCAGCTCGAGGGCACACCTGTTCTCATTCAGTGGGCAGATGGGCAGGCTCTCCAGGAGAGGCCAGCCCAAGGGAGGCTTCAGGAGAATGGGACATTGGGTAGCTACTTAGTCACTTAAAAGGTACCATGCCACTCAATGAAGATCGCAGAGGCCCATGGGCCAGTTCAGACCCCAGTGGAGGGGCTCTCGTCTCCAAGGGGATGGACATGTAAGCCCAGTCATTCTCCCAGACACGCCCCCAGGCCAGCATGAGGGCTCCTGGGCTGGGCACTAGGAAGAGGGCGGGCCTTATGGGCTGGGGTGCTGATGGGTGCCTGAGGGTAGAGGGAACCTCAGGGGCAAAGGCCTGGATGGGCCATAGTCCAAGTTGCAGCCAGGCTTTTCTTGTGTCAGATTATTTGGGAGATGGGCAGGCAGTAAGGTTGGGCAAAGCAGAGTGGAGAGGAGCCTGGACTCATTCCCACACTGGGATGAAGGAGGGAGCTGTGCTGGGCTTTGGGGCTGACAAGGATGGGGGCTGAGAGAGGCAGGACGCTGGACTGAAGGGGCTGCCTCCAAGATGCTGATAAAGGAGAAGAGGGGAGTTCAGGCACAGAGAAAGGTGGAAGAGTCCTGGCAGAGAAAAGACTCTGCAGAAGAGGGACTTTGGATATTTTCTGGCACTTTCTGCACTTCTACCCTCAGGATCTGCCCTCTCCTTGGCCAGACCAGGGAGACAGTCCTCACATTTTTGCTGGCTTCTTCCCAACAGTGCCTCTCAAAAAAGCCAGTGTCCAAAATTTCTCCTCTGCAGTGGTGAAGTCATTTCTCTACCCTCATCATTCAGATCTGCCTCCAAACTCCGTTCTCCTCCTACTACCAGGCAGATCCTTCAAATGAGATGTAATCCCAAAGGCCAATAAGCACGTGAAAAGGTGTGTTCAACCAGTGCAAAATAAACCACATGGGGTAGTATTAGAGATCACTAGGTTGGCAAAGACTACAAGATCCAATGGTAGTGAGCATTGGAGAGGAAATGGAGGAACCGGCAAGTTAGCCAATAAAACCAAGACGTGCAGAAGAGACGGGACCAAGATGGCAGAATAGACAGATGCTTCCTGCCATTCCTCTTACAACAAAGACTTGAAAAAACAGGTGAACGGATTATATATGACAACCTAGGAACCCTAATCATCAAAGACAAAGCTGAAGAATCAGACTGAGGGACAGGTCGAAGGAGAGACAATTGTAGCAGAAAAGCGCAGATCGCGAGAGCGCCAGCACCCTGCTAGCTGAGTCTGCGCAGTGCACTTGGGCTGAGGCAAGCACAACATCCAAAGACGAGCCTCATCACATCGGGTGCAGCCAAGCAGCAAGGAATCTGCACACACCTCCAGAACTAAGTAGGAGTGACATCAGATTTGTGAAAGTTAAGTGCAAGCTTCTGACTTAACTCATGTGGGGGCAAAATAGCCCCTCCCCCTCCCAGAGTTTCACAACTGAAAAGTGCTTCCTTCCCCTCACCCATCCCCCATCCCGCTCTGCTCTGACACGGTCCGGGAGTATTCAACAACTGGCATGCTCCCTAAGCTGGGAACTCAGGGCAGGTCAGGAAGCCCTACCCCTTTTGCCCAGACACTGGCGTAAGCGGTCTACAAAGTTGCAGCACCCTTCACCCCTGTGTAGACCTGTGTGGGCCAATTCAACACTGCATGCCCTCATTATCATAAAACAGCAGGACATACACTTGAATCCCATTTTCAACTACCGCAGCCAAGGGGGAGCTACAGATTCGTGACATTTGACACTGTCCTGCCCCTTAAATGGGGGCCTCACCCACCCACACCAGGGGCTTGAGGGCTGGCAGTACCACCCACTCTGTCTAGCCACCCACAACAGGGGTCTGGTACCTCAGTTCCTCCAGCCAACAGCACCAGGGGCCCAAGGACTGGTTGCAGTACCTTTCACTACGTGCTCTGGGGACAGGGACTCACCCTCCACCCAGGCACCTGGGGACAGCCGTCAGCCCCCTGCCTTGCTCCACACATAGCCCCCTACTGCAGCCAGATACCTGTGCCTGCTCCAACACCCCTACGTAGCCCTGCCCATCTAGGACTGTAGGTAAGAGTCTGCACCACGCTCTGAACTTGGTGACCAATGACCTGGACACCCGTGCCACACCTGCACAAGAAAAGTGAACAGACTCCTGGGCTCACACACCCAGTAGCTGCTCTGACCACTTGGAGATAGGACATGAGAGCTTCAAAGACACCAATAACAAAAGTAGCTCACACACCCAGCCTACTTGGGCATATTCAAAACAAAACAAAAAGCTAGCACACAGTAAACAAACATACAATAAATAAATTAAATAACTTACTGATGCCTCAGAGACAACAGTCAATAACAAATAGCATAAAGAAGCAGGTCAAGATGACTCCAGCAAGCAACCAAAATAAAGAACCAGGAAACTTTCCAGAGGAAGATAAGGTAACGGAGCTACCTGAGATAGAATTCAAAAGACAAATATATAGAGCTCTATAAGAGATCCGGAAGGAGATCAGACAAAATTCAGACCAAGCCAAGGAACACACAGACAAAGCAATAGAGGAATTCAGGAAAACAATACAAGAACAAAAGGTCAAAACTAACAGACTGATAGAATTCACACAGAGACAGCAACTAGAAATCCAGAAGATTAATAATAAAATTTCAGAATTAGACAACTCAATAGAAGGTCATAGGAGCAAAATTGAGGCAATGGAAGTCAGAATTAGTGAGATTGAAGATAAATCCTTTGACATCAATTTATTTGAGGAAAAATCAGAAAAAGAATTTTAAAAAATGAAGAAAACCTAAGAATTATGTAAGACACTATCAAAAGGAAAAACCTACGAGTGATCAGAGTACCAGAACAGGGGGGGATAACAGAAAACACAGAGAGAATTGTTGAAGATTTGCCGACAGAAAACTTGCCTGATATCATGAAAGATGAGAAGATATCTATCCAAGAAGCTCAACAAACCCTATACAGGGTAGATCCCAAAAGAAAGTCACCAAAAAACCTGTTGCTGTCTTGTCAATTCTGACACATAGCGACTCTATAGGACAGAGTAGAACTGCTCCATAAGGTTTCCAAAGAGTGCCTGGTGGATTTGAACTGCAGACCTTTTGGTTATCAGCTGAACTCTTAACCACTATGCCACCAATCAAACTTACCAAAACCAAAGACAGTGATAGAATCTTGAAAGTGGCTAGGGGATAAACAAAAAGTCACCTACAAAGGAGAACCAATAAGACTAAGCTCTGACTACTCAGCAGAAACCATGCAGGCAAGAAGGCAATGGGATGATATATATAAAGCCTTGAAGGAAAAAATTTGCCAGCCAAGAAATATATATCCAGCAAAACTGTTTCTCAAATCCGATGGCGAAATCAGGTCATTTCCGGATAAACAGAAGTTAAGGGAATTTCTAAAAACAAAACCAAAATTACAAGAAATACTAAAGGGAGTCCTCTGGGTAGAGAACCAACAATTTCAGGCAACAATCCAAGACTAGAACACAGGACAGATCAACCAGTTATCAACCCAGATACGGAATTCACAAAAACAAATCAAAGCCAAAAGACTGAAAATAGGGAACCAGAGAGGTCAACATGTAAATGATGACAACGTCAAAACAAAAAAGAGAATAAACAGCATACTCACAGAACTTCCATATGGAGAGGAAGTTAAGGCAAAGAAAGCAAAGATTGGTTTAAACTTGGAAAAATAAAGGTAAATGTCAACGTAACCACAAAGGAAGGTAACAAACCTACCCATCAAAAATTATAAGAACTCAAGAAAAGGGTTAAACACAGAAACAAAATTCTTTGATGGTTATGAGGGTGGGGAGGGAGGGGGAGAGGAAATCACTAACTAGATAGTAGACAAGGGTCAACTTCGGTGAAGGGGAAGTCAGCACAACTGGACTAAAGCAAAAGCAGAGAAGTTTCCTAGACGCATCCAAACACTTTCAGAGATAGAGTAGCTGGAACTGGGGACTTGGGACCATAGTTTCAGGGGACATATAGGTCAACTGGGATAACATAGTTCATAAAGAAAATGTTCTACATCCCACTTTGGTGAGTAGTGTCTGAGGTCTTAAAAGCTTGTGAGCGGCCATCTAAGATATTATCTTTTGGTCCCATCCCACTCGGAGCAAAGCAGAATGAAGAAAACCAAAGACAAAAGGAAAATACTAGCCCAAAGGACTAAAAGACCAAATGAACCAGAGACTTCACCAGCCTGAAACCTGAAGAACTAGATGGTGCCCAGATACTGCCCTGACAGGGAACAAAACAGAGAGTCCCAGACAGAGCAGGAGAGAATTGTAGAACAGAATTCAACTTCATGTGAAAAGACCAGACTTAATGGTCTGACAGAGACTGGAGGAACCTCTGAAACGATGGGCCCCCAGATGCTCTGGTAACCCAGAACTGAAACCATTCCCGAAGCCCACTCTTCAGACAAAGATTAGACAGGACTGTAAAACCAAAAATAATGCACGTGAGGAACGTGCTTCTTAGTTCAATCAGATACACGAGACCCAATGGGCAGCCCCTGTCCAAAAGCAGAATGAGAAGGCAGAAAGGGGCAGGAACTGGTTGAATGGACAGAGGGAACTCGGAGTGGAAAGGGGGAGGGTGCTATCACATTATGGGGACTGCAACCAATGTCACAAAACAATACGTGTATAAATTTTTGAAGGAGCAATTAACTTGAGCTGTAAACTTTCACTTAAAGCACAATTAAAAACAACAACAAAACATGACATGCACATGGACGATGCAGCAATTCTGCTCCTGGTAAATAGCCTCAAGAAACTGTTACACATGCACCCCAGGATGTATGTACCAACGTGCTCAAAGCAGTATCTTTTAAATGGCCCCATATTGGAAAGAGCCCAAATGTTTATCAACAGAGGAAAGAATACAAGTTGTTGGATAGTCATCAATGGAATACTATACAGCAATGAAAAGGATGGGCCTTTTACTACATGCAACAGCTTAAACGAATCTCACAACATGATGTTACGTGAAAGATGCAAATCACAAAAGAACACGTACTGTTTTTGCACTTACATAAAGTTCGAAAACAAGCAAAAACTGAACTATATTGGTGATAAACAAAAAATCCAGTTCCCATTGAATTGTTTCCAACTCATGGGACCCCATGTGTTGCAGAATAGAACTGTGCTCCATAGGGTTTCATGGCTGTGAACTTTTCAGAAGCATATTGACAGGCCTTTCTTCTCAGGAGCCTCTGGGTAGGTTGGACCGGCAACCTTTCAGTTAGCAGCTGAGTGCTTAACCGTTTGCGCCATCCAGGTGCTCCATATTGGTGATAAACTGATGCAAAGAAAATGCTTATAAAAGAATTTGGTGGTTCCTTTAGGTGGGGAGGGAAAGATAAGGTTGTGAGGGAAAGGCCCTGGGGTGGGGGACACTGGCCACATTCTGTATTTCTCGGCCTTGGTGGTGGTTACTTTGATGTTTACTTCAAAAATTATTCTTTAAACCATACCTTTAGGTTTTATGAACTATTCTGAATATTTGATATATCTCAAAAAGAAAGAAACAAGCTTGAAATTTGATCAAGATTAGATTCCTGCTACTTTTCCCATTTTCACCTCAACCAGCATTTTCCAAAGTTTGGAATACACATATTTCCAAAGTGTGGGATACACATTTCCAAAATGTGGGTGTCTTAGGTATCTAGTGCTGCTGTAACAGAAATACCATAAGTACCAGGCAACACGGTGCTATAGTCAGAAGCACCATGCCATCTCTCCACAGCAAAGAGCAGAAAAACTAAGTCTAACAGAGTCACACATCAATCTTGAAATCCTACGCATCTAATGAAGAGATAAAGAACTCAGCCAAGCAGTGAATGGAATAAGAAACTGACTGAAAACAGACAGTGAGAAGAGATACATGCAGAGGTCCCCTATCAGCTACTGCAGCATGGATCTGCCATCTTGGACTCCTATCAGAGATCAGCGAACAGGGGGTACGAGAAAGCAGCTTCACGGAGCTTCCAGCAGGAGACAGAAGATCCGGTAACCAGCGATATAGGCTTTCCCACCCCCTCTTCTTCAGCCCTACTTAGCCTGCTCTACTTCCTGCAGCCACAGTCTCTTGGCCAGGAAGCACCCCAGTGTCACTTGGATTCCACCAACCCCCACTGGCTGGATCTGAGTGCCTTTTGTTGACTGCTGGTGTTGTTTTTTCCACTTCTTTAGATTTCTTCTTTACCTCTCACCACCTCCCCCTCCTTTCTCTCAAATACCTGGCTCTGTGCGCCATCTTTGCTTCTTCCTGAAAGGCTGCAAAACACCACTTGACTGTGAAACTGCTTCCCGGCCCATGCCGCCACGCTGGTGGGATCCTTGGGGCTTTTTTGTTTGTTTGCTCTGATTTGTTCTGTTTTGATTTGTTTGTTTGTTTTCTTTTTCTTTTCTCGGCTTGGGAGCCCCATCTAGCCGGGCAGTTCTACGCGGCCTGGAAGCTACTCCCTTACTTTGCACAGACGCACAGGGACATCCCTGGGGGCATTTCTTTTTTCTTGTTTTTGGGTTTTTTTTGTGTCTTTGTTTTGTCTTCTTCTCTCTCTTATTGCTTTTTTGTCTTTTTCATCTCCAGTTTCTGGATTTATTCATTTTGTTCTTTTGC